CTCATTAACAATATTAGGGCAAGAGGGAGGTCTGCACACGCTGTACGAAACATTGTATTACAAGAACGAGTTGTGTAAATTTTTTACCCTTCTTCGTCATTCAAACCCAATGCTGAGAATACTCGAAATCGGAGCTGGAACGGGAGGCTCAACCACATACATCCTGAAGGCCCTTCTATCTGACAATGGAAGAAGGTCTTACTCGCAATACATGTACACTGACATATCTTCTAGCTTTCTTGACAGAGCCAGGGAGGCATTCAAAGATCCCAAGAACTTTGAATTTCAACTGCTTGATATTTCTATGGAGCCGTCGGAACAGGGATTCCAGTCACAAAGCTACGATGTAGTCATTGCTTCTAATGTGTTGGGTGCTATTGCCGATATAAGTGGTGCTCTACACAATATCAAAAATCTCATGGCACCAGGTGGTTACCTTGTTATACAAGAGTTTGATTCAATGATCCCGAGTACCCTGTGCATTACGGGTCTCCTTCCAGATTGGTGGGATGACCAAGGAGAGTTCTATGCACCTTCTGTATCACCTGGCAGCTGGAACACAGAAATCCATAAGGCTGGGTTGAGAGAGGTAGTCGGAGATAGGCCTCTCCGCAGCACATCCTTACCAACCACTACTACTCTAGTGGCAAGAATTGCTGACCAGGAAAGCCAGGCGGGAAGTGTTGTGATCCTCGGTCCTCAGGACAATCCCTGGGCCCAGGAAGTGGCAAGTGCTCTTCTAAGTAGTGGACACACCGTGAATTGGGGTTCTTTGAATGGACAGGTATCCCCAACCGACACGGTAATATCCCTTCTAGACCTCAATGGTCCCTTTTTTAAGGGTATGGATGAGAGCTCGCTCAACGAGTTTAAGGGTTTGGTGGACTCCTCCGCACGCATACTCTGGGTCACAAAGTCTCTGCAGATTACGTGTGACGATCCTGACTACGGCCTCGTCTTGGGTGTGTCCCGGACGATAAAGCGAGAGAAGGGACACTATTTTGGGACATTTGAAATTGACAAGTTTGACAGCAATGCCGTCAGCGCGCTGCTGAGGGTACTTAACAAGTTTTGCCAGCAGTATCATGCCAAAGATACGGCGGATCTAGATTACGAATTTGCGTTACATGAAGGGGTAATACACGTCGGGCGATTTCAATGGACTTCCTTGACCGATAGGCTATTCTCGGATTCAGCAATCGGTCTACCCACAAGGCTTGCAGTCTCTTCCCCGGGGTCCCTGAATTCTTTGCAGTGGGCCCCAGATGGAACTAAGTCTGGTATTCTGGGTGCCGATGACATTGAGATTGACGTCCACTATGTTGGGTTGAATTTTAGAGTAAGTGATGGTGTATTCTCAGATTCCCTGTGAACTATCATGGTTGACTTTTTAGGATGTCATGATCGCTCTCGGGATCATGGCGCATGAAAATGAGTTTGGCAGTGAGGCAAGCGGCGTTGTTAAGCGCATAGGATCAAACGTGAAGCACCTGTCTGTTGGAGACAGGGTCTGCTTAGCACAGCCGGGCTTATTCCGGACGCGAACAGTGGTTCCCGCAAGTAACTGCATACGTCTACCTGAGAAGCTGGCCCTTGAGGATGGTGCCACCATGGGCATTGCGTATGGCACAGCCTACTACTCTTTGATTGATATTGGAAGGCTAAAGAAAGGCGATGTTAGTATAGTCTCTGTGTTCTTGACATGTACCTAAGTACCACCACTGACATAACCCTAGTCGGTATTGATCCATGCTGCCTGCGGTGGCGTTGGGCTTGCTGCCATCCAGATTTGCCAAACCTTTGGCGCAGAGGTAAGTCTTTTCTCACTTCGGCACATGTCAACCCGGGAGGTATTCAATGTTAAACGCTATTCGTATAGATCTACGCTACGGTTGGAAGCGAACAGAAGGTCATGTATCTCATCGACACATTTGGGATCAGGCGAGACCATATATTTAACTCGCGGGATTCGTCCTTTCGGCACGACGTCTTGCGTATGACTGACGGAAGAGGCGTTGACCTCGTGTTGAATTCGCTAGCCGGAGAGCTCCTCCACGCCTCATGGAAATGTGTGGCAAAATTTGGCAAAATGATCGAGATTGGGAAACGGGATTTTATAGGTCGTGGCATGTTGAGTATGGATGTCTTTGCCGGCAACAGGGCATTTTTTGGGGTTGACCTTATGGAGCTGGGCGAGAAGCCCGGGTTTATTCCCAGGTTTGTCATACATTCGGTTGGGAGTCAACTATGCACCGTTAAGCTAACATTCGCAAGACTCTTTGGCAAGGCGCTTGAGCTTTTCGAGAGAGGGCAAATCAATCCTATACGTCCATTGAAGATCGTTATGCCCACGGAAGTGCAAGTTGCTTTTCGAGAGATGCAAAAAGGTCTACATATGGGAAAGATTGCACTGAAGATGGCTGGCAATACCGTACCATTTCCGCCAATGAAAGTTCGTCAGCAGGTTTCTCTGTCCCCAGACGCCGCCTATCTTCTAGTTGGAGGCTTGGGAGGAATTGGCCGGGCAATTGCCACCTGGATGGTAGAGAAGGGCGCCCGATATCTGATCTTTCTTTCACGATCCGCTGGTGAGTCGGACGCGGATCGAGAATTCTTCCGCGAACTTCATGTACAGGGCTGCCTGGCAGTGCCTGTGAAGGGTAGTGTGGCAGTCCTCAACGACGTCAAGCAAGCAGTTTCCGTCAGCCCCAAGCCTATAGGTGGCGTACTTCAGCTTTCCATGATTATAAGAGTAAGGACACACCTCTTGTGACTTTTGTAGCGGTTACTAATGATACCTTTGTTATTAGGATCAGTTCTTTCCAGCTATAACGTACGAGAAGTGGAAAGAAACCTTAGCCCCGAAGGTCCAAGGAACGTGGAATCTCCATAAGGTACTCTTGGAAGAAACATTGGACTTTTTTGTTGTCTTCAGCTCGGTTGCAGGAGTCATGGGGCACCAGGGACAGGCTAGTTATTCTGCTGCAAACACTTTCCTAAATTCCTTCGTGCAGTATCGCCGTCTGAGGGGGCATCCTGCGTCGGTCATCAACCTCGGCTGTGTGGATGAGATTGGTTACCTTGCTACAGATAATCGTAGGCTGAGAGAGGGAATGCGGGCAGCATCGGTCTGTCTACTGAGTGAACAGAACGTACTCGATGCTCTAGAAATTGCGATCACTCGACAGAGCTTCTCAAAGAAAGCTCCCACGGAGCAGCAAGTCCTCGTGTCAGATGACTATACGGTGGGTATGAACAACACCAAGCATCGCGCCGACCTGACAGTTCGCCAACTGTGGGGGAAGGACGCGCGATTCAGCGCCTATGCCAATTTTGAGGCGCATACAGCGATACAATACAATTCGGGTGCTGTAGATAAGGTGAGGGAAACAATTGCGAGCATAGAGAACAACCCCGAAATACTGGATGACCCTGAATGGAGAGACCGGATTACGACAGAGATATTTGCCGCAGTCCGGACGCTATCAGGATTTGGAAAGGACCAAGATGACGAGCAAGTCATGCAGAGTCCTATTGACTCACTGATGACATTTGAGATTCGCAACTGGTACCGACGATACATCAATTTGGAATTGTCTTCTGTGGACGTCGCGAATGCTGGTACACTTGGTGGTTTGATGCCAATCACCATCGCGGCGCTTCGTGCAAAATACGCCAAGTAGTATCTTAGCTGTACATGAATATGTAGATCCATATATGCACGAAGCTTTCTTCGACATTTAGTGTATGCAAAGTGTCCTTCAGTTCTTGGCGCCTTTTTTTTTGACTCGTTGAGTCGTACATGATACACTAATGCAGTGTCTAGAACTGACTCAAAACCAATAATACATAATATTAACATCAAGATACCCTCTGGAGCTAAAGGAGGTATATGTGGGCGCTCAGGAAGGTAATTTATTCTAGGACTCGGTAGTGCAAGATAGAGTCTATATCTAACTAACTCACAGTGGCAAAAGCTCCCTAATACTAAGCTTGCTTCGACTAAGCGAGCTCTCACAAGGAAGTATTTTCATCGATGATATCGATATCGCTCAGATTCCTCGAGAGCCAGTTCGACGCCGGTTAGCCTTATTGCCACAGGACCCACTGGTGTTCTCGAGATCGATTCACCTGAACCTTGATCCGCTGCAAAAGCATACCAACGAGGCCATTATTTCTATCCTTTCTCGGGTAGGAATGCTAAACTCATTGGCATCCAACAGATCCGGCCTGGATAGCCTCGTTAAGAAGGACACGCTTTCTTCTGGTCAGCAGCAGCTGATTGCCTTTGCACGGACGCTGTTGAATCCATCTCCTAGTCTGTTGCTCGATGAAGCTACGTCGATGGTGGATATGCAGACAGAAGCGATGATCATGAACTTGATCCGAGAGGAATTCGAGAATCGCACGGTCATGGATCAAGGGACTATTGTTGAATCTGGACGCCCGCTGAGCTACTTCAGAAAAGTGAGGGTTTGTTTAGAAACCTATGGATGAGGCAGGTTCACGACGGTACTCCACATTTGGATGAGCCTCCAAAGGCTTTATGATGGCTATATAGGCATATACTAGCACGAATATGGAGAGTGTAATCTTGTTGCATTCGTTTAGCTTCTCAGACGGCTTATTATTTCTATGTGAGGACTATATCTGGGAAGTACTGTCCTCTTCATTCGCACCCTTAGCTTATAATACACTAGTAATTTTCCTAGATCTCGAGTTTCTGCTGGCTACCCTACGAAGCTAACGTAAGACAAACCTCTGCTTATCTATGATATTGTGTTGGTCTCTGTATCTAAAGATCTCGATTTGAAAAGCGTATGGCTGTTATACTAACCACCTAGTCAATTACTATAGCCCCTAGTAAACTCATGTGGGCTTTGTCATCATGGCTAGTAAATTTATGACTACGTTGAGATACTAGTTAATCGTTGAAGGGTGAGTCCGAGAGTCTGGGTTCCAGTAGCGCGATGAGGGTGAGCTCAAAACGCACATGGAAATTAATTATCAAAGAGAGTGGAATCATCATCAGAGGTTTCCTCTTCGCTATCAGAAAAGGGGTCTCCAAAGCCGTAACTGTGTCCAAAATAGTCCTCGAGTTCCTCATCCGTAACATCTGCCGCGCCACTAATAGCAGCCACCTGATTCAAGAACCACTGCATTTGCAGTAGTTCAAAGTACGGGAGGGGCATCGTCCCCGGATCCGAGGCCCTTATTGTCATGATTTGGCCAGAGTAGATGGGTTCGTCCGTATCGCAGTTCCACAACTTGGCATTGCTAGAACTTGCCTTCAGGTCGGATGGGAGGGACGGAGGAACCACCATGGACACCTGTGGGTAGTACTCTCGACGAGGCAGCCACCAGAACCTCATTGCAAGGGATTTCTTGTCCTCAGTCATGCCGATGGGTTCAAAGGCAAGGCGTGCCGAGCCCCAGAGGTCGTGCACAATAGTCGAAAGGCGTAGTAGGTTCTGAGTTACCTCTGCGCCTTCCGTACCCATGACATCCTTCTTCCAGCTGGCGATCGTCTCGCGACCCCAGTGACATTGCAGATGGATCCAGAAATTCAGCCGTGCACTTTGGGTCTCATTTCCCAACGAAAGCGGGCAGATGTGACATACACGGACGTCCTACTTACAACGCGGTCCGATTGGGTTTGGCCCTGGTCGACAAGGGGGGGGGGGGGGGGGGCAGTCTGAACAACACCAAAAGAGATTAGCAGCCCCTGATAAAATTGGAATCACCGGTGTTTTAGATAGCAATAAACTCAGAGCGAGAATGGTGCGAGAGTAAGCACCATATGATGTAGTCGCACTCGATATGTAGCGGGTGTGACCATATTTATGGATACTAGAGCATTGTATACGAGATCACGAATGAGAGATACGTGGCTAGTCGCTAAGGAGGCGCGGAATTAGAGTCCGGCGGCACTGGGACGAGATTTCAGATTCAACGATGGCGATCCTTATTAAGGCTCGGCGAGCAAGCCAAACTAATGCCGGACAAAATAATACCACCTGCTTTACTGTTTTCAGCTCCAGACAGCCAAACATGCCGATCAATGCTATCATCCAGCTTTATTCTCAACTATATAGCTTTGAGGTACCTGACAATCTTCCCAATAGCCATTATTCTTATGCCAAGGGACCCAGTTCAACGTGTGCGACGCGGTGTAGCTCTCGCAATGCACAGTTTTGGGGAGCCGGAATCGGTATCTCAGCGCTATCATTGTCGAGAAAGTACTTGAAATGATCAGGCGCAATTTGTAGGAGGCATGTAGCGAGCTGAGTGCCGCCTGGCTCAGGAAAAGTAGAAACATCTGGACTGCGGTTAGCCAGTTGCTTGTACGAGTGAGTTATTGAATCTGGAACACATACAAGACTCGCCTGCGATGGCTTTGGTACAGTCCACATAGGCTGGGGTACAAGTCGGCATGGCCTGTGTAGCTTGTGGAACTTCAGCAATACCAAACGCCGGCTCATGGACCTTCTTAGCAATATCTAGACACTGCTTTGGCATATCAGGGCACTATCAGCGATATTTAGTTAGCTAATCTAGATTGCTAAATAGAGGTTCAAAATTGTAATTAGTAGTTGGCAGGCCACACCTGTTCCTGGAGGAGTGCGATCCAGCCCCTTTCCTGCCTCGCCTGCGGGGCGGCCAGGACGACGGGGGCTAGGAGAGCGACAACAGAGATGAACTACACACTCGATTAGCAGCATTTCTCGCTGTTGCGAAGTATTGATTCTTTACCTTCATGGTTTCTTTATGGCGTGCGATTTCAGTGGATGTAATGAGTATAAAATATCGGATAGAGGTTCACACCAGACTTAGCTGTAGGAAATGGTAGAGGGGAAGACGTTAGATTTATATAACACACCTTTAGGCAGTGAGCAGGCCCGTATATTTCAAGACAGGGGGTAAGTACTCAGATGAATAATTATGATAGCCATAACTATCACTAGATCGTGAATTTTGCTCCACAGTGGCACAGAGATCTACATGGCTGGCTGAATCCGAAACTCAAAATACATCTTCCTGCTGCTGTTTATCTTATTCAGTCATCGTTACTCCGTATTTTATATATCATTGACGTTTCGTTACCTGGTAGGCTAAGCTGGGTTAAGTAAATTGGCACCCGCGTCTAAGATTTCGATGAACTCTTGTATAAAGTAATCTTCTTTTATAAGGTATTGATTTCGCTAACTTTACGGATACATCTGTTTATTATTAATCTATCTACATCTTCGTACTACGGTCAGAGAAGCGCAGTTCTCGAATTCTTTAGAAGCTGGCAATCAACTCAGCTCGGCAATTGATCCAGGAGGTGATGACCGTGCGTATAAGCTGAATTGTGGGGCAAGCTAACTGATGGATCTAGTGGATGCAATAGTACATGCTAGGAGATCCAATTCAGAAGATTTATAAACTTTAATTAAGCGAAAACAAGTGTGTCCTCAGAAGTGAAGGAGCGGATCAATATATTCCTTGTGAAATCTGACGGATCGTCACGGATGGATCACGACGGTCACAACCATGGCAATTATAAGTGGGTTAAAAGCAGTGTTAGGTAATGATATCCGGAACATGGCACTTGAGTTTGCAGATCGTCGGCACATCGCCTAAGCCTTTGGTAAATTGGGCTTCGGCGCGAGATCGACGATTTACTAGGTACTATTGAAAAATGGTCGGGATTGTGGGTACGTGATCTGCATGATTCTTGTCGCGGTGAAGCCCAGCACCGCCTATTCCAGCCCGCCCTCCGCCTACCTCGATGTCCGTGCCAGGCATTCTCTGGGCTGCCGTGCAAACGCTGGCACAATGGATGGCTAGCACCCCCTGCTGCCAGACATTCTGAGCTGCAATAGACGCGTTGGTGGCTTTTTCGATTTTCGCCTGAAGTCTCTCCAAACATGCCGCAAGCTGGTCAATGTTTCCTCGCAGTTCTAGTTCCCTCGCAACAAGCTTATCACCAACTGACTTATGTTCATTTTCTATTCTCGCCCACGATTCAGCCTGTATCTTTTCCTCGTCGCTGAGCTGACGAGCATTCTCTGACAACTCTGCCACCACGGTGTACTTTCTTCTTTCTTCCGCTTCGCGTTGCTCCAGTGTAGCCTTCCTTTCGCGCTCAGTCGCTGCGAGCTGATCTAGTACGTCCTGTTGTCGAGCAGTTTGAGCCCTGAATTGATCTAGATTTCTCTGGTTCTCCTGCTCCTCTTCCGAAAGTTGTTTAAGTCTGGCTGTTTGAGCCTCGTCGTCCCTGAGCGCCTGCTCTCGCTGGCCAGCCGCGAGCAGATCGAGTCGTATTTCTTCGCCGAGTTCGTGCTGGGTCTGCTCAAGAGTACCGATAATAGTTCGTCGCTTCTCTTCGTCGACTTCCAGGCTCTCTAGCTTGATCACCTGCTCAGCTTCCGCTCTCCTCATGTCATCTAACTTCTCTTGCAACGCCTCAGCGTCCCGGCTAGAAGCCATGAGTCTTTCCTCTTGTTCAGATACGGCGTTTTGGAGCTGCGCTATGTTTTCCTGTTGGCCCCTTTCCCTTTGTGTGAGCTGCTCCAGCCTGGCTTCCTGCTCGTCCGCCGTTCGTCTTAGGTTCTCCAGACGGTTTTGCTGAGGGTCTTCATCCACTATCATAAGCTCTGGTCTCGGATGGCCACCAGCTGACGGCTCGGGACCGGGCCTTGGCGGGTCCGTGGTCGCCTGTTCTTCATGCCTGCTATTGACGTCGACAGCATCGACAGAGATCTGCTTCCCCAAGAATGCAAAGTACGTCGATCTTTGAATAAATAGGGATGTCAAAGTTGGTCCGCATGCTACGTCCGCGTGGAGCTTGTCGAGGAAAACGTAAGGCTTGTGCCGCGCTTGATCTGGTCGGTTGGGTATGCCGCTTCGATTGGGCGATCGAACTTGATCCTCGCCCGCATCCGTATCGTCACCATCGCGTATAGCTTGGGCCGATTTCATCAGCTCCGTTACTCCTGTTACGCATCTCTCAAGATCATGATACCTGAAACGATCAGATTTTCGAGCCGTCAGGAGCAGTCGACGGTCAATTTCTCGGTCTGGGCCTCGCTGTAGTAGGTCCTGGATCCGCACCGATCTAAATCCTAGCTTATGGGCTAGTGAAGCAAATTCAAACAGCACCTTTTCGTTGACCTGGCCATTCCTGGGGCCTGTGAGCTTTTTCTTGGGCTCAGCCGGCATTTCCAGGTACTCGCGCAGCGCATAGAGCCATAGAACTCTATACGCGACGTCGAACCAATCTATGTCGCTTCCAGAGACAGATCTGAACGACGAGCTAGACGTCTGAACCAAGCACAGGTTGTTGCCGTAATCCGCATCTGAGAATGAGTACTCCAGGGCAGACCGTATGGTTTCCCTCCTCTCGAGACGCACCAGCCACTTGACACTGTCTGCGACAAGCTTGAGGTGCTTGAGATCGTCGAAAAATCCCGAAAGTGACGGGACTAGGGAGTCAACTGTGGCAGCGCGAATCCTAGACCAGATGGCTTACCGCTGTTCGCCACTAAACGCGCTGAGAATCTCTCCCGCACAGACGCGACCGTAAAGACCTCGGGCTTCCCCGTCGCAAGCGCCGGGCGCCTTGAGTTCTAGGGCACGTACCGAGGCTGCGTCGAGCCTATGCATATCTCCCTCGTTTCCGCCAAATACGGCATACCAGAAATCTCTAATATGTTTAAGATACGATAGCAATTCCTGTAAGTCAGTGACACGGCTTCCTCTGGCATGGAATGTTGGTTACCTCGTCGCATCTTATGGATGTCATCTTGTTTACTGCACTTAGCCTCAACCCGCAGTAGAGGGCTGGAAGATGGCGGAAGGCATCAAAGAGCAGGCGCGAACTTCGGATGCCCCAGCAACTGTTCAAGGCGATCTTTCGGGGTGTGTGGATCCTTTTACGGGTATGGCAGCTAAGCGTGCCCACCACCGCCTCTCAAAGTACGAGCTCTCTTACCCAAAGACGCCCTGGTATTGCCGTAGTGTTGTAATAGAATTCCCCGTCGTCTGGTTTCCGCTCGTTTGCGTATTCTTCTGCCAGGTCTCGTTTCGCTTCGAGGCTGATATCTTTGCTGAATGAGCTTTCCTGCTTAGGTACATGGTAGACTACAAACCTGCGATGAACAAATCAATAACCCAATATGTGTCGGCAGATCCAGAAGTTTCTTTGGCAGCTTTGTACCCGATGCTGTCCTCGAAGACACTCTAGACGTACGCCCGGCGGTAAGTCTAGTCTAGGGTAGTCTGGGCCGGGCGAAAGCAGAGCGTCTCGGGTCAGTCCAGAGGCGTTTAGCGCCTCGCCCAGTGTCGCCTCGTCAACCACCGCTGGAATGCGATTTTGCAAGTCGCCTGGCTTGCAGCCCCGTGGTCCCCGAAACAGCTTCTTCGGACGCTGGACATTCTTGGGATCCAAGCTTCTTGAATTTGGGAACTCTAACATATTGAGCTTAATGCGAGCAACACCTATGTGCTTGGCGGATTTTTCGGCTGGAATACGCCTAGAAGCAACTCTGAAGCCAATTTCAGACATAGGCTTGGCAAATTTGACTGAAAAAAAATGAGGTGAATGAGCACGATAGCATATGCCAAAGTGATATCCATTAGAGCCACCATTGATCCGAGAAAAGGGTTGAGAAAACCTGAGGAAGGAGGACAGGCGGACAGGCTTAAATGCTGCTTGGGGGCCATAAACCCACTTTTCGGTTGTGTTTACAAAACCAGGCAGGCACCCACACATCAGCGCTGGCAACCTGTCAGGAGACGGGTACGAAGCGATGCGTCTTGGTCAGAGCAGCACCCTTCAAAGAAAACAACGTCCTGTAGCAGCTCCGCCCAAGGGAAATGATCGCGCTGTCTTTGTAGGATTCCCCCGACAGCGCAGGTATCCTGGATGCTGCAATTTATCAACTTGCTGCAACTCCTCTGAAGCCTGTTCTCTAAAACCTCTCCGCGTACCCTCGCGTCACTGCTTTCTGGTGTCTGTCGATGGTAACACGGGCTCGAGATCTGGTGCAATCCCTCAAGGCTTATAGGCTCGATCCTTTCCAGTCGTAGCTGCTGCTCGTGAAGTAGGCGAATTCTCGTTTCGTGAGGTCGAGCTGGGCTCGTTTGGACTTGGCGCGCAGACCTCGATCTCTGCGGTGTGGCGAAGGTGACAAGCACACGGTTCATGGATGGCGTTGTTTAGCGCAAGTCCCTTGACGGGCTTAAATTAGTAGCCGGAGTTGCAAATTGAACTACAGCACCTTAATGCCAATAAGTCAGTGCCTCAACAGAGAGGAGCTGGCAGCGTAGGACGTTGGTCGTGCGCAGGATCACGTAGGTCTGGCTCAGGGAGTGGCACCAGGGACCGTTCTCGAGATCAGCATTTCCATGAGGAGATAGGGTTCTTCTGCAGCAGGCCGTTCATTACGACCCGGCGAGTCGAACCAAGGCAGAAGCGAAGAAAGCAAGGGTGTATGTCTTTCTCTCTCAGTTTACCTACTGCCAAAAGGTTTCAGCGGCTGGCGACGTTCAAGCAAACTGCTCGACTGCAGTGGCGTCACACAGCATTTGTCCCTGCATATGGCTGCAGGGTGCCAGAAGTCAGATTGGAGGATGACGGCGGGGAAAAAACATACAACAGGAGGGATTCGCTGGTGGTCACCCACCCAACTACTAACCTCCCGGCGTGTGGCTTAAACGCGGCCAGAAGTCGGGTGGCTGCCGCCCGGGTGAGCTAGCGGGTGAGCCGCTTTAACGTCGCGCGACTTTGGGTGAGCTTGGGTGAGTGCACAATAGATGGGGTGAGCCGCCAACTGACACACCCGAGCGCGCGATACCTCGCGAAAAATTACCCAAAACTGAACTTTATTACCCACTTCTCCTCTCATCCATACTAACTATTGGATAGAAATCGATCGGTTCTCAGAAGCTAGCGTTTCTACCTTCCTTGCATAGCCACAATGCCGTTCACTCACTAATCTGTCCTCTTGTGAAAAGGCCGCGTGGACCTCTCTTATAGCAATACACGTGATTATAGTTATTGCCTCAGGTTAGAGTCACCTAACCCCAACGATAAGAGTGGAAACAGAACAGCCTTCGTCCTTGTAAGATTTCACTTATCAGGAGTCATCATAATCTGTATATTATATCCCCAAGTACGAATGAGAATTTTCTCTTATTGTCCGCTCCGAGATCAGCTCGAGAAACCCGGCATCAGCTCGGCTGCGTCTATTGCAGGCAAACTGCACACGTCTCAAACCATTAGAACATTTCAGGACGCAGATTAACTTTGCTCTTGAGATGGATTTAATGGTGTCATCAAACGACGTTTTTCAATCAACTGCCTGTGTAGCTCCAGGTGTTAAAAAATCACCTGATAGCCTTATTCTCTGCCGAAAACCTCTGACCGCCTTGCTATTAATGCCCAACCTGATAAACCCCTCAGATGCCCCACGCGTCTTGTCTGATCTTGGAGCGCACCATTCTGGCTAACGACAGGTTGTTTAGCAAGCATCACGCTGGCTCTTTGCAGGATAAACCGATATGCCCTCTGCATCTCCCTTGGAAGCAACTGCAGTTGTAGCGGCAGCTAAAGTTAGGTCTAAGATTCTGCGAGCATCGCACGACCGTTATCCCTGGTTATTCATTTCTCCCGAGAGTAAGGAAGATGTTAGACCTGTTGTGGAAGCTTTGCTCGCAGTTCGTGTTCTAGCCATATATGTAATTGTCTGTGCACTAACAATATCTTTAGAACAAAGATGTCCTGCAACGCATCTCTGAAGATACTGGAGTAGTCTTTGCTACAAATCCATTTCACAATATCGTCGATTACTATCCCATAATATGGACACAAAGATCCGGTAAAGTTGAACCGCCATTTCCTGGAAAGGCTTTGGTGATCGTTGGCCTGGAATACGTGGATCAAAACAATGGGCTTCCAAAACTTCATAAGCGTGCGTTATTTCCGGGGGACTATGTTTCGATATTGGGGGACAACGAAATACATTTAAGCGATGGAGGGGGAGGGACTTCATTATTCATTATATTGGAGAAGTCCTAAATGAACAGGATTGTCATCACAATAAGTCCTTTAGCGGCTATATGTACTTCTATCCGAATCAAACCATAACCATGCTTGATATACGCATTGAAAATTCCAAACGAATAGGGTCAGGGTTTCTTTGCTACGCTATACAAAAGACTCAGACCCACTGACATCAAAGATGGTGGTGTTTTTCTGTGCATTAGGGGTAGCGTGCTGTGACGGCAACGGCTGCAGACACTCAGTTGCATGGATCTGCCGCACTTGCAATACTGTCGGATGGGGTAAAATTGTGAAACCTATCACTGTGTACCATTGATGCAATAGCCGCCCACGCGTCCGGGGCTTCAGGCTGCGGGATATCAATCGTTGTATGCTGGGCAACCCCCCTGCTAAGTGACATTGTTGCAGCAGCCCACGCATCTGCGGCCTCAGGCTGCGGAATATCGATTGCTGTACGCTGGGCAAACTCCCCGTTAAGTGAGTTTGTTTGTGCA